CACACGATCTTCATCACGCGGGCAGCAGGCCAGCAGGGGCAGCGCGCGGGGCAAGACTTGCCGAGCAAGAAATCGAGTTTGGGAGATCTTTTTGAGCTGAATCTTCTCTAGATTATTCTTCCCTACTTGGAGTGCAAGTCAAGGCACAAGATCCCCTAGATATTTAGTTTCCTTAATGCTTTATGATATCTAGAATGTTTAGGAAATTAATATTTTATTGCTTTAATATATTTCCTAGGTAGATTAGAATTAGTAGTAATTAGGATCTATAAATAGGGGTCATCCCCCATTGTTTTAGAAGAGTCTTGGAATGGAATAGAAAAGAACGTTTGTTCAAACCGTGTGTTGAGAGTCGTGAGATTCGATCATACAAATCGAATTGGTGAGGCTAAGACCCGAGCCAGTTCAAACGATTAGAGAGGCTTAGACCCGATCTATTCGCGAGTGAAACGAGGCTAATAACCAAGTGAACTCAAGTATCGTGAGAGAGTTAGGCTAATAACCGAGTCGATCACACCTATCGTCGAGAGCAAGGCCGTGGCGAAGCCGTGATCGAGACAAGTCGAGGACACGAACATCCGATCCTTCATCAGTGTTCTTATGCGCGGTAATACGTGGTTACGCGATTGATGAGTGCCATGATGCTAATGCCGTGCTTAAACCAAGTAATAATGTGCCTATGCAACTTAATACATGATCCATGATCAATTAACTTATCATTAGCACGTGAACGATGAACTTAAGCTCGGTAAAATAATTTATCGAGCAATTAGACATGAATTAATTATCGGAATTATTCCGAACATGAGCATGATATTCGAAAATTAATTCGAATATCCTTGACTGAAATAAATAGTTCCGAACAATAATGAATGATAAAATAAATATTTCAGAACTAAACATGATACTATATTAATAACATGATGGGATATTACAGTTTCTTTCCCATATGTAAGGGTAGTCACCATATGTTCATAAGAAGGAGGTAACGAACACAGTAAAATCATCTCCTTGTCTTCATCTTCAATCTTGACTTCGAGTGAAGCCAAATCCGTGACAACCTGATTGAAGATATTCACATGTTGCCCTAAATCGGTCCCCTCCTGCATCTTCAGCTCATATAACCTCTGCTTCAGATATAGTTTTATCGTTAGGGTTTTCGACATAAACTGCGATTCCAGTTTCTTCCAGATCTCATCCGCCGATTTGAGATGCATAGCGTGATACATAACTTCATCTGCAAGGCACAACCGAATCGTCCCGGCCGCCCGTTCCTGCAGATCTTGCCAATCATTGTCTTCCATCCCCTTAGGCTTTTTTGCATGCAACCCTTTCTGAATTCCTTGTTGCGCCAATAAATCTTTTACTCTCGTCTGCCATAATCTGAAATTGCCATGACCATCAAATTTCGAAACCTTGAATTTCGATCCTCCCGTCATCTCCGTCGCCCAATCAACCAGGCTCTGGTACCACTTGTTGAGTGAAGATGACAATATGGCATACGAATTAAAAAAACGAGAAAAGTAAACAACACAAGATCTACGTGGTTCGGCAATGTGCCTACATCCACGGCGGCCGAGGGATCTTTATTAATCTCAAAATCGTCTCAAATACATCAATACACCATGCATTTATACTATAACCCTACAAGATCTCCGCTCACTTCGCTCGGTCGCTCCGCTTCCCTCGCTACGTTCGCTCCGCTTCCCTCGCTACGTTCGCTCCGTTACGATCGCAGGCATCAGCCTGCCTCCTTCCTTTGTCAATATATGAGCCATATCAACAAGGTGGATCCAAGAAAGATTGAGGCGATGGTGGGTTGGCCGAAACCCACAAGCTTGACGCAGTTGCAAGGGTTCCTTGGTCTCACGGGCTATTATCAGAAATTCGTGAAAGACTATGGGACCATCGCGAAGCCACTCACGGAGATGACGAAGAAGGGAGCATTCAAGTGGACGGAGGCGAGCGAGAGGGCTTTTAAGGAGCTGAAGGAGGCCATGACGACCACGCCCGTGCTCGTGATGCCGAGGTTTGATGTGTTGTTCGAGATTCACTCAGATGCGAGCGACATTGGGATCGGGGCAGTTCTAGTTCAGGAAGGACGACCCTTGGCCTATCTTAGCAAGGCACTCGGGCCGACGCGCTTGGGGTTGTCCGCGTACGTGAAGGAGATGCTGGCCGTGGTTGAGGCCGTGCGCGTGTGGAGGCCGTACTTGCTTGGCGACGCTTTCGGATTGTCACGGACCAGCAGCCGCTCAAGCACTTGCTCGAGCAAAGGATCGTGACGCCCGAGGAGCAGAAGTTCGTGTCCAAGTTGATGGGGTTCGACATCGAGATAGTGAATCGGCCCGGTCGCCAGAACACCGTGGCCGACGCATTGTCTCGCCGGGAAGACGTGGCCGAGCTCGACGCCGTGACGGGGCCGACGTGGGCCGTTTGGGCCGAGCTTCGGAAGGCGCAAGACGAGGATGCGCATTGCCGGAACGTGATCGAGAAGCTGAACGTGGGACACAACGAGGACGAGGACCATGACATGCACGATGGCTTTCTCCTTTATCATGGGCGAGCCGTCGTGCCCAACGCGGGATTTGTAACGCCCCGTTTATTTGAGAATTAATTAGAGTTATTTATTATATTTATTATTGCTTATTTATTTTTATTATTACTGATTGTCTAAATGTTATTAATTGCTTAAATGCCTAATTGTTA